GATAAAAGTTATGAGAGTAATTATAGCAGCAAGGAAAAGAATGAAAACTTGTTAAGACGTATGAAAGCCCTGCTAGATGAAGAGCGTTGCCATCAACTAACCGCATTTACATATCCGAGATAGAAAACACCATCACAATGACGTTCCATCATAAAATAACACAGAATACTAATTTCCCGACCCCTCCATTACCCCTTGACATCTTCAAGTTTCACAAAATGGGTAATTCCATCCCATATGAGAACCATTGATTTATACGATACCCGTTGCATCCCAATGAATGTTTACGGTTCAACAAAGTGATATTATGATAAGTGCACGACAGTACAATTCCGTATTTCTTTGTTCCGTGTTTCCTTTCAGTTTTTTACTATACTTTCAGTATTCACAATGAAATTCGATAGAGGTATTAGACCGGTGTGAAATATACCTTTATCGGAATACCTTTATCAGCAGTCTTTCTATCAGCACCAAATGCATCGGCTTCGTTGCCATTCACTAATGTCTACAATTCATCTGGCAGCCATCAGTTTGTTTGATTTATTTTTGGTTGAAAGCACCAACCGAAACAGCGGTTTAACACTGTGTGAAACAGAATGAGATTCGAACTTTAGCGCTCCGAAAGTGTAAGAGGAGAACAATGAGAAAAACAATATTTATAATGAGAATGCTCATGAGAGCGTTTATGATGCATGAAAAGTCACTGTAGAAAATTCCAAAAATGTTTGAAAACTGGCTGATGTGCCTCTTAATTCAACGAGTTCTGGTTAGTGGTGTTGTTACGAATTGCCAGTCGGAATCAAAATGATTTTAATGAATGTGGCTGGGATGTTGGTGCTCTCTTGTTTTAATCGTAGATTCAAAAACTCATGGAGACAATCGAATTGTACCTGATGTTTTAGATCATATTTACCCACAAAAACACCTCGTTCCTTCGGAACACTTCTACTCGGCTTTGGAGATGTTCCCTTTTGTGGACTCTGAGATCCAGAAGTATCTGAATGGAAAGAATTTTCGATAAATCCACATCTCTCAACCTTATGAGATTATCACCCTCAGTCATTTCTCGAAGGAGATTGGTTCTTCTATCGATTATGTCAAATTAATGATATATATGGCGATATGATGGTAGAATGACGTTACTAACCTGTTTCAGATAAATCAGATGACCCTCGACTCCCTTCACCTTAAATCTAATAACGCTCAGTAGCAAATTCAAGAATTTCTGCTGTTAATTCATTTATTGACATTTACAATATGAGTTTCAGTGTAGATGTAAGATATCATATTTGGTGTGACGATCGCTGATCAGTTTGTAGTGTTTCGAGGACAGAAAAGGTGGATTAATGGATCGGTTCTGAACGAATGCATCAGTTGTTTGTTTGCAAAGAAAGGAACAGTTACAGAGGAATGACGGCGGAACCTCAACAGTGCTAAACCGATCGCTGCACAGAAACCATAAGGTATGATTGAATGAGTAAATGAACTAAACGATTTTTCCTTAAAGATCCAATAGAGACCACTGAAGACAGTGTTCTCAAAGGTATTCATTAAGTTGTCATTAATGACAAAAACAATGTACAATATCAAAATCACATACGTTGACCATCTTTCATGTGCTTTATTTGCCTCTTCTTCTGGAAACGAAATATCATTTGTTCGTTAATTTAACTCCGATTATATTATATCACCTAATTGCTCATTTGATTAGCATTCAGCAAAACTCATTTGAATTTTCACATAAAACGAAACCTTTCGGTTTTAACAAAATATCTTCGAACGATTGCATTATTTCCTCATACAAAAATAAGGTGATCCACTTGGGTTATCACATCTATCCTCTCCATAGCTATGATCCTTTCAGTCCATCGTATCGTTTTCATTATTACTGATTTTATCATTATTATCACTACTGTTATTACTATTATTGTTGTTATAACTGTGTGCATATGTTTGTGTTTCGATCAATGTGGATGAAAAGAAATACCGAACTGCATGTTATCGATGAAAGACATGCGAGTATTATTTGAAAAATGCAAATGATCGTTAAATTTTCCTGCAAATGTAAGAAATTGGTTGTTTCAGCTGGACTTGAAGAAACATAATGTTCCATTTAACAACTCCACAAAAATTTCTCAGTCATCATTCACTCGATAACAAATTCACTAGAAGAATACATCATTCATGATGTGCATGGCGGTGTTTTGATAAGCATTCACGAGTTCATGATTATGACTTCATTCATGTATTTGATATTACATTTATAAGGATATGAAGTGTTCCATCATTCAAGATCGTGATCGAATGCGTGACGAAGTCGATCTCGTAATGAGCATAATGATACAACTGATTACAACAAAAATGTCTAACGGTCAACTCACTCGTTCCTCTTCCCACCAACTGACAAACGAGTATCTCATATTGTTTGCAGATACCCCTTCCACAAAACCGCCACGATGATGAAAAAATGTGTAAATAATAAAATACATCCTCAACTGTGAACGAATCTTTTTGGAATCATTTTGCATACATGCAATTATTCTTACAATTAGCAAACTGGGAAGTTGATAAAAACGAACGAAACGAATTTGCATTGATCTCTCACTATGCAATCCAACAATGGAACATGTGCTGGAAAGACTAGGACGAGTAAAAATTGAGACTGCATACTATCAGTATAATTACTTGAAAAACCTAATTTTTGGTTAGAAAATTCTTTCGAAATATGTTGACAATTGATTATGATCGACTTACAGTGTGGGCGATTTCTGTCATAAATTAGAACAATTTTTGCAAATGAATCCGCTGAGGTAAATTGCTTTGACACTCGAGTTATATTATACTCTTTCAGGCATATTTCGAGATGGGTAATTCTAAAGAGTCAAGGAATTTTAGGCGTAATTGATATCACTTCATAACTCCATTTCAAAATGAATTCTTTGAAAATAACATATCATGATTTCACAATCGACAAGTACAAAACGATGATTCATGATGAAGAATGAACTGTAAGTGATCAGAAAATCACGTAGCTATCAAACACAAATGAAACGCAGTGAATCACTAATCGAGGTAACGCCAAATACATGATGAATCATTCGTAATTTCGTGATGTCAAACATCTCATCAAAACAACACCAACGTAATGTTGAATTCAGTACTGCCCACAACAAAGCGCTCGTACAAAATTTATTTAAATATTATATTTATACGCCTCCGAACCTCACTTAGCGATCAATGCTTATGATAAGGTATTTCGAATGAATTGCTTTCTACCTCATTTATGAGTATCATTTCATATTCACTACACGATATTCAATCATAATATTTGCTTTGAAACAAATATTTGCTTTGTTGCAATGTGTCAGCAAGGCGACTTCACCAATGCGTCTCCTCTCTACCGTGATGTTTCCACATATTGCGCAATTTATTTCTATCACGGTTCGGCGAACTGGCTGATAGTGTTACCACTTTTTGTAATATGGCCTGGTAAGCCTCGCAGGTGCCACAACCGACGGCTATTCACTGGATTGTTGAGCATTCGGGTTCAGCTGAAATAGGCGCTGTTGCTACCGTTAGCTGCGGAGCTGACAAAGTAATGGTAGCAACGAAACGACTGAATCCAACCAAACAGCACTTCAACGCCTTAGTTAATCAGACGTATTTATGTTTTGATCACAATTATGTCATGTGATATGATTATTAGATTCGGTTTGCAATTAATTGCAAGGAACTGGTTCGAAAACAAGTAGCAATTTTTTGTAGTGATAATAAGATTAGCGATATTGACATAACTGAGAGATTATTTCTGAGCATATTTAATGTTATACTTGGACGTTTTGAGAACATTAATTTTGTATGAATTGAGTTGTATGGTTGTTGTATTGAATGACTGAATGTAAATTAAG